AGTAGCTATAGGCGCCCACCACAATGCCTGGCTACTTTTTGGTTGTAATTGTCATTGTTGTTGGGAAGGCCCGGGCTTGATTCCCAACCCACCAGCTCTGGTGTATGTGGCTGGCGCCTTAGCAGCTTGAGCTACAGGTGTGGAGCCAACATTATTTATTTATTTTTTTGTAGAGACAGTCTCACATTATTGCCCCAGGTAGAGTGCCATGGCATCACAGCTCATAGCAACCTCCAGCTCCTGGGCTTAGGCAATTCTCTTGCCTCAGCCTCCTGAGTAGCTGGAACCACAGGCGCCCACGCCTCACCCACTGCCCCTCAATCCCCTACCCCCAGCTATTTTTGTTGTAGTTTGGCCACCCTCGGTATATGTAGTTTGGCCACCCTGACTCACTGAGCCATAGGAGCTGCCCAATTTTTTTTTTTTAAATGTGCTTTATGAATTACTCAACCTGACAAATCTTTTTCTTTTTTTTTTTTGTTTTTGGAGACAGAGTCTCATTTTGTGGCCCTCAATAGAGTGCCCTTGGGTCATAGCTTGTAGCAACCTCAAACTCTGGCCTTGCTTCAGCCCCCAAGTTGATGGGACTATAGCCGCTCGCCACAACACCTGGGTACTTTTAGAGAAGGTGGTTTCAAACCTGTGAGCTCAGACAATCTACCCACTTTGGCCTCTCAAAGTGCTAGGATTATAGACGTGAGCCACCTCGCCTAGCCCGACCTGAAAAATCTCTTCTCAGTATACTGAGCGTAATCTTTTAGTAGTCTATATCATTCATAATTTTCTTTTTCTCATATTTTTGTTTTGGATTGTGGGTTCCTTTAGGACTGAAACAGGATTTCATGTTTATTTTTTCCCCCTTCTACAGAGTGCTGATGCTGTAAAAAAAGCTAGAGGATTTTTGGAATTTGTGGAGGATTTTATTCAGGTTCCTAGGAATCTTGTTGGTAGGTACTTCTACTAAGTATTAAATAAGTGTTGTTTAGTTACATATAATCGCTTGACTGAAATTAGTTTTAATAGTCAAATACCTTGCTTCAATTATGTGGAACATTTATGTAGCAATATTTATTTTCATTTTTGGGTAGTACTATTTTATGTTACTTATACATTGTTATTGTCCTATGTTGAAAAGTAAAGATGTTTTCTTCTATACAGGGTGACCCTCACTAATAAAACCCATGATTTTTATAACAGTTTGTCAGTATGGTTTTTTTAAAGCCTTCTCATCCTTTGGGATCTTCTCTGTTGTATTCTCTTTTCCTTTAATATCCTTATGTCATTCATGTAGCCATCAAAATTATGATAGTGCTTTTTGAGAAGGTGTTTGTGATAATTGTTTTCTTTTGTTTAGTGCAGAAGGAAAAGTAACAGTGGACTAACAGTAGGGTAATAAACTTCTACACAGTAGGCCCTGAATAAATAATAATTGGTTGTTGCAAAGGAGTAGAATAAGGTAAGAAGTTGTGGGCAGGAGAGAAGGATGGTGCTGATGATATGAGGGGATTGCTTGATACCATTAATGAAACTTTGTACTCTTAGGTTAAGTTAAGTGACAGAAATTTGAGTTTAAAGCTATGATTAAATGAGCATTATAGTTTGGGGATGAGTTAATTAACAGCTCTGTTATTAATACAACCTACATCTGTGCTGTTTGTCTTTTATGTGCTATTTGAGGCAGTTGGGAAGGCTTTGGTTATGTGTACAGTATACAGTGACTATCTCAAATGTTATATAAAAAGAAGCAGCAACATAATATAATGAGGTCTACTAGGAAGGGATGAGTTTTCTTCCCAAATATGTCTCGTTAACTTTTTTGATTCTAAGGAAATAGTTTTAGCTCTTTGGGCTTCATTTATA